TATATATATATATATATATATATATATATACACTGTGTAGCATAAAATCAGAGGGTAAATTGGTAATTTGGCAATATTGGTGGTGTTGCAGATGGAGAATAGAAGATGATGATCAACCCATTGCATATCCATATGTAGAGTTCCAGAGAGGTTTAGTATTAAATGTGGACCATTTTACCCCTTGAATCAAACTTATTATATTTATATATATATATATATATATATATATATATATATATATATATATATATTGGAAATTATCCATTTCTTAAGAGAGAATATAATAATTCGCCAAGATTACTTTTTCTTTTATATGCTTGAATGATATGTCTCATATTGCATTGTTTTCTTCTTTAATTTGATTTTGTTTATTAATTATAATAACTCATCATAAAAGTCTCATACATCAAAGACATCGTAATATAATTTATTTATTTATTTATTAACCTGGATATCTAACCCATCATGCGAACCGACTAATCATAAAGCGATCACCTGCTTTGCAGATAGCCCGGAATATAATTTATTTTGATATCAGTAATTTACCCTCCAAACCTTTAAAAATATTTTAAATAAAACCTGCTCTACATTTTTTTTTGAAATATATAAAATTTATATACGGCAAATAAATTCACATATTTTCCTCACCTTTGATGAGGTTTGAATTCTTGACTTCCTAGGAGGCTAAAGACTCGCATACCGCTAGAACAAAGGTCATTTGGTACCTGCTCTACGTGTTATTTGAACCCTTCTTTACTAATTTTCTCTTATAACAAACAAAAATCGTCATTTTAACCGATGAAATTCACCTCCTAACCATATTCTTCTCATTTGTATCAGTCTATCAGTACTTTCGTAAGTGCCCTTATCGCAATTTGCGCACGAGAGCTTTGACGAGTTAAATAATAAGATAAAAAAATAATTAAACTTGACTTATGTTCACTTACAGATGGGGTGTTGATGAGTTAAAAGTAATTAAACTTGACTTGTGTTCACTTGCTAAGGGGGCATTGTTAAAACCGTCACAAAATAAATAGACATATTTTTATTTATGTTTGTCCTAAAACAAGTGTTCACTTTAAAAAATAAAAAAAATAAAAAATTCTTAAATTTACACTTGACTGACGCACAAATGCTTATGAATTAAAAAAAACAATTAAACTTTACTTGGTTCGGTACTTGTGGAGGGGGCATTCATAAGTTAAATGCCTCCTCGAGTTTGAAACTCATTTATTCTTAGAAAATGCACCCTCCACAAGTTGCAGAGGGGGCATTGATGAGTTAAGAAAACAAGTACATTTTACTTTTGTTCAGTACTTGTAGAGGAGTCATTGATGAGTTAAATACGGCCTCAAGTTTGAAACTCATTTCTTTTTATTAAAATGCACCCTGCACAAGTTGCAGCAACGACTCTTGTCAAGGTATAGATAAATGGTAAAAATGGTAGACGGATGGCTATTTTTGTCAATTTCCGTACAAAAATAACATCATTTTTCTTTTTACCATTTTCAAACGGTTCAAATAACTATATCACTGAACCTTAAATCATATGAAATGGTTGTTTGTTTACGTCTTAATAGTTACATAAAGAGGCAATTCCTGAATAGTTAAGAGGTGAATCTTGTTTGGCAAAAAAATTCTTTCTCTTAATGGTTTCAAAACCTTCTGAATAATATTGTATCATGAGCCTCCTTTAATCATTCTACATCAAATCATTCAACAATTGTCAAATAATCCCTAAGACCAGTCTGTCAAAAAATGTCAAGTTTTGATTGGAAAATCATTAAGCAAATGAATAATTATCAAATATAATATTTAAAAAATTATTTTACTTAATAATAAAAATAGAGACATATCTTTGTCCACTCAAATCATATGGTCTTAACCACAATGGAACTCCTCACATAATGCTTTCCATCTGACCATACTAGTTGACCAAAAACATATTGCCCACCACCCCTGCCCTTCTTGGACTTCAAACTAACCTTGAACCTTTTCTCTTCACCACTCTTTTTAAACTTCAACTTCTTTGGCTGAACCTGGACAGATATGCCAGCCGGCTTAAAGACTCGGACCTTGTAAGTGGCCGGCGAACCCACATTCCTAACGGTTCTAGTCACTGTGATCGAGCCATTGAGGTTAGGCACGGTGATTGATGGATAGTTGAAGTCTGTGAGACTAATGTTCTTGGATGGGCATGAATAGGGTGTTTCTGAGAACTTCTCGATTTGAGACTTGGTGTAGCCGAGTGCACACATGAGGTCCAGGTAACTGTTAGTGGTCAGATCATAAACCAGACCAGGGTCCATGGCTCGGTTTGGCTGCACGTGCCCTGCTCCATAGCTAAAAGGTGTTGCTTTCGTGTGGGATGCATTTGTAATTGGTTCTACTGCATTGTCGCGTGTTCTTGCTGCATGATAAAAGAAAAATAAACTGAATTGAGTGTCTGAATGTTACCGAACTTGAAAAAAAAACCAGCGAGCACAGTAAATCCCACCCGGAGGTATCAAAATTTCTCAAAAAGAAAGAACTTTTTAAACTGGTAACCGACTCTAAGAGGGTTTAATTCATCATAAACAGGGTAATCTAACCTGTGGTCATGATGGCGGATCTAATTGCTGCTGGACTCCAATTGGGATGCAGGGTTTTCAGTAGCCCAACAATACCGGCAACATGAGGGCATGACATGGAAGTGCCGGATACACAATTATATTGAACTCTTCGCGTATCAAAATCTTGATTCGTTGGTCCTTGTGATTCTGTGTAAGCAGCTATTATACTCACACCGGGTGCAGTTATATCGGGCTGAAGATAATCAACAAACACAAACATCAAGATATGATCCAAACAGGTAACGTAAGCCAAATCTTGAAGATGTTAAATGCTTATATAACCTTAAGAATCTCCGGGGTGATGATGTTAGGTCCCTTGGATGAGAAAGCTGCCATGAATGGAGCTGGCTTTGTCTCTAATTGAGTTGATGGATGCGTGATGTACGCCATTGGAGTCCTGTTAGAATTTGTAAAGGTAGGAATGACGAGTTGTAAAAAGAAATCCTGGAAATTTTGGCCTTCCAACCAAAGGGTCGTTGGGCTAGCAGTATTTGGGTTACCAATAGAGCCTAGCCTCCTTGGAAGTCAAAGTGCGAAAATAAGAGTTGGGTGTGTACATTACTTGGTTGAATTGAGATATCGATAGACAGCAAGACCATCGGTGTAAGTTATGTGTGTAGCAGGGAAGACATGAGGGTCTGCAATAATCTCATTGCCGGAAAGATCATTGTTGGCAAGAACCATTCCAACAGCACCAGCCAAAGCAGCTTCTTGGCCTTTGTCAACCCTTGCGTTTTCTCCCCGAAGACAAACCAATATTTTCCCTTTGGCCTTATTGGGATCCAGTGATCCAGCCTTACAAAGCTGCCTGTATTAAGCCAATAGCTAAAGTTCAGCCACTAAGTTATGCATCTTATGCAACATGACTAACTAACTTGTATTCTTACGCGTCTTTGGCTTGTGCCTTGGCTGCTTTGGCTTCGAGAGAGCTTATTATCGGAAAGAACTTGTTTCTTGGCAATGCTTTTGCCGAAAGACTTTCACCCTGAAAGTGAGAGTTCATATATAATCTGATATACCGAGTGCATTTTGTTGATAGCATTGAGATCTTGAGATGAGAACGGAATAGAACTGACCTGGAAACGCATCTTATTGCCAAGAACAGCATAACTAGGGAACTGGCGGTCCATGGTGCTAGCTCCAACTGTGATTTGCCAGGCTGCAACGTTGGACACGGTGCCATCATCGGGTCCAGAATTTCCAGCCGAACAAACCACGACTATACCCTGCTTAACGGCATGAAAAGAGCCAATGGCAACACTATCGTTGAAAAAGGGAACAGCATCCCCACCAAGAGATACAGACAACACATCTACTCCATCTTGAATGGCCATATCAAATGCTGCCAATATATCTGCATCAAAACACTCATTTCCATTCACAGGGGGGAAGCAAACTTTATAAGCAACAACCCGGGCATGTGGTGATCCGCCTTTAGCTGTTCCATTCCCATACCCAAAGACACTGGCATCTGATACAAAGTTACCACCGGCCGTTGATAAGGTGTGGGACCCATGGCCTTCATGATCGCGTGGTGAATGAAAAGAGGAGTTGAGAGGTCCAACAACAGAAGCATAACCTTTGTTGAAGTATCTTGCTCCTATCAGCTTCCTTCATATAGGAAAAGAAAACATGAGGAACCATAGTTTACCACGGGTTTAATGAGCTTAATGGGATTTACAGCTTATTGGGTCAGCTATAATGACTGTTTGTTAGTGGCTTAATGATATAGAAAGTGACTTATCCAATAAACTTTCAGAGGGGAGCTTAATGCAGAAAGCCAAGTTGTTTCCAAAGCTGCCTCTTGATTAAAAAACACGCTCCTTCAATCTATGAAAAACCTCCCAAACAAAAACCTTCACAATCTGTACAGAACTTTGTCCATACAGGACTTAATGAAAAACCACAAACTGCCCTGTATCATTGGCCTACTTGGATCGTTGTCTTTGATCAAAATCAAACAGGTATAGAAAAACTTTGGGTATAAACTATGGTGGTTATAAGAACCTGACCGATTACAGTGGAAGCTAGCATCTGCACCATTTTGACAGACTCCTTTCCATTTTGATGGAATTGGTCCCATTCCTTCATCACTAAAGCTCTTTGACTCTGGCCAAACACCTGGTAAAAAGATTGAACAAAGACTATGAGGCTGGAGATGGTTTAGTATGATCAGAATAAAAGATATCTGTGTGTATTATGCATTTTGTTAAATTATAAAATGGTAAGATTTGATAGCAGATCTTATTGGTGATTTTAGTGAATCATCAGACAGCTTTGTGTAGTTTGATTCACAAGAGAACGAAAGGGTTGGTGGTTAAGTTATAATATGGTTTAGGAAGTGAGGAGTGTGCACACTTGTATAAGTTAGCTAGAACCTGGGATCGCGGGATAACGGCCATATGGCGGTGGGTCAAGGGGGGCGTGCCTTTGGTGGTGATCTCAATACCTAAACGATGGTTCGAGAGGGGCCGCCAGATGGCAGGGTAGCGCCCCCAAACCTAAACTGTATACACTAAGTGGTATTCAGAAGCAAGGTTCAGATAGCTACGTGCTTTCGGAAAATGAGAAGTCTGGTTTAGAAAGCCATGTGCTTTCTGAAAATCCTAAATTTGAGTCTGGTTCAGAAAGTTATATGTTTTTTGAAATCACTAAGGAGGCACTTATTGGGTAAGCGTCACCACCTTCATTTTCGGCCATCAAAATGGACTGTTGGTCCTTGTCATTTCCCATTTCCCACCCGCTAAGACAAGTGACACCCAGTAAGCACTTATCGAGTAAGTGTTCAGTATACACCCCGAAAGTCTGGACACTCAGACTGGTTCAGAAGACTTGGATGCCTTCACTTCAGAAGACAAGAGCCTTCAAAAGGTCAGACTTGGATTCATAAGGTACGTCATCTTCTAGAAGGCAAGCCTTCAAAAGGTGAATCACCTTCTTAACTTTAGCGCAGTTCCCATTTTGTAACCACCTATCAGTTGCTCAATAACTTCTAGTAATCATTACCTATTAATGAAGCATTCATTCTCAATTTTAATGTAGAGAAACGTTACAACTTCTACGTGCTTAAACCTCTCGGTTTCTGCCAAAATCGAGAGACTGAATTCAGATTATCCTCGACCAAATTTCGTGCAACCTGAGCAATATAGGGTTGAAATATTGCCAATGCCATATAATGAACAAGGTGCCAGTTCAGCCACCAAAACAAAATATGAATATATTAAGCTCATTGGATGCTAATCCACAACTAAGCCACCAATAACCAAAAAATGTGATCAAAAAGTCAACGATCCCAAATGAAAGAAGTTAAAAGACAGCTTTCTTGGAAGAATATAAGTAATAGCAAGTTTGTCTACAGTGAGTAAATCCATAAACACAATCTCCAACATAAGAAAAAAGATGAGATTTTAAGCTGACCTGTGTCAAGGTTTCCTATGATTGTATTTTCACCAAATCTTGCCTTATTCCAGATCGAACCAGAAGGAATTACACCATTATCTTCAAGACCCATAAAATCCCATGATCTGGTTGTATGTAATTTTCTACCTCTGTTCAAGAACACTGAGACTACCTTGGAATGCCCTGCATTAATGGATAATTATTCACACAATTCTAACCATATCATTCTACAGAACCATATAAACTACTTACTGGCTATCTGGGCAGCTTCCTCATCTTCAAGAATGGCAGCAAAACCATTGATATGCCTTGTGTATGAGTAAAAGATTGCATCTTTGGCCTTATCTTTACTGTATATATATATATATATATATATATATATTCAAGAAAAGAAACAAGAATGAGAATGAGAAAGTAGAAAACAAGCAATGGATTTTGATTACCTTCCCAAACAGGAGCCAAGAAATTCGTAGTGGGAGTCTGTAACTCGATTGAAATCAGTGGTTGAAACTTGAGAACTATGGGAATGAAGGCCCAGATAGATGACATATGACTGAATGGAAAATAGAGAGGAAGATTTTAAAATTGAGAAGTATAAACCTAAGTTATTGGAAAGAAAGAAAGAAGGCAATAATGGATGGTTACCCTTTTAGTGGCAAAGGTGGGTCTATGCAACAGTGATGAAAAAAGAAGAAAGGAGAAGAGAAGAGTAGCACTACTTGCTCTCATTGCTCTCAAGTAATGCTTGCCTGCTTCCCCCCTCTATCTCTCTCTCTCTCTTCTTTCACAGAATAAAATTATGAGCACATGAACATCCCTTTTGCTCAAAGTTGGTTTCTATTTAAAGACTTCTGGTTCACTTCTGTTCTACTCCAATTTCAGTGGACTTGAAACGGGTAAAATATTTCTAAACTTGGAAAAAGGTCAAAACCCAACCTGATTCCCGACCCTGCTTCCGATTCCGATTCCGCTTTCAAGTATTAATTATACATTTCTATATACATATGAAAGGTAGTCAGATTCAAATGAGAAGAATAATCAAATAAGAAAACAAATGAATAATATAGATCATATAATTTATTAAATAACACCTTAAATAAAAATTAAAAAACCAACAAGTAAGGACATAAAACCCATTTATTTATACAAGAGATATTTAAGAAATTTATCTAAGATTTTCCTTTTTATCATTTTTGTGATTTTAATGTAATTTAATTTTTTATTTAAAAATTTTATTTTCTATTTAAGGCATTTAAAATAAGTGTAATTTAATTTTCGTTTAAAGAAATTATTTTTATTTAAGGCAATATTTTAGACGGTTCTTAAAATCGCCCAAAATAAATAAAAAAATTCCTTATATACAGAGAGAGAGGTTCAAACGACAATTCTATCTAAATAAGAAAATATATGGATAAATGTCAACCAATCATCGTCCAAAATGGTATATGTGTAATTTGTTGCATATAGATTATATATAAAATTATTTATTTCTATAAAGTTTATTTAATGCATTTAATTAAGATATTTATTTTAAACAATGAATATATATAATGATCAATCTTCGATGATCGTGATTCAGTTGTTTGTGGTAAGCTTTTGTTAATACAAGAGTACGGTAGTATAAAATTTCATTTATTAAGTACTATAGTTGGTATATTTGTGTTTAATCTATCTTTTTTTATGTTATTCTTATGCACATGCAAAAATTAAGATTTGGATGTCGTTTAAACGTAAAATTGACATTTATATATACATAATATATAAATACACTACGTAGAAAATTAAATTAGGTAGACAGAAAAAAAAAATCTCTGATTCCTCAATGGGATCCCCATTTCCCGGTGAGGACGACAGATGGGGATGGAGATTCAAATCCTCGGTATCCCCAGCCCGTTGGCCATCTTTACGGGTGAGGTTATATCACCAGGGACGAACCCAAGAATTTTTGGATAAGATGGCACTTTATAAAACGGTTGTACCTTCTAGAATAAAACGGTTGCACCTTTCATGAACCTAAGTTTTTTACCTTACCACGGAGGAACAATACGGTGGCCCGTGCCACCTAACCACCCCTCTAAGTCCGTCTATGATACCACAATGCTCCACTACAACCCACATGATATCTTTTAACCTTATGAACATTTAGATGAAGAGAAAGGGGAAATAGTCATTTTAAAGGAAAAAAAGGGAAACAGCCTTTTTAGGCATCTGAATAGTGCTAAAAAGGATACCTATGGTGTGTGGGGAAGGATCTTGTTTTCATTTGGGACTTGGGAGCCTCTTAAAATGCTAATAGCTTAATGCTATTCAGTCATTGATGAATTAAGAAATGAAAGCCATGTGTTAAAAAAAAGCATCTTCCTTTAATGAGATATTAATGTCCTACAGTTGCTCCAAAATGCTAAGCACCATCTGAAAATAAAAAAATGAGCTTATTGACTTCACCGATGGTAATTAAAGTTAATATAATAAACACTAAAACCCACGTAAGATTTGCAGATATTATGCATGGGAGAGATAAAACAACGACATATGGGGATTAGGTGAATACAAAAACAAGATTTTGAATTCATTTTATCAAACAGGTGGTGTGCATAAAGAGAGTATATAAAAAACAAGAGAGTTGAATTCAATGAGGCATTTTAACAAACAGGAGGTGTGCATAAAAGAGAACAGATAACAAAGTGGTGGTCCAAGCATTACTACTATGACTATGAGTGGCGCAATGTGAAGAAAGGGAAGCAAGTCTTATTGTTGCTTAGGACAACATGACGTAGTAAGCGATCGAAATCCACAGCTTCCGGCTAATCAAGAACCGATCTGCCAAAGCATATATAAAATGGTAAAATTAAAACCCATAAACTACTGATTTGTGCGATGAAGATACACGCATCATCATGTTGGAAATTGCTGCCCATTTCCGACTTAGGGTTCAGATAAAGTTTCAAAGTCAACGAAGATCCAAAACCTTATCGTCAAAGATACAGCATTTGGGAAAGTTGATTTCTTTTTCTTAAAAATATATCTGCTATTCTTTTTTTAAGTTTTATATTTACAAATAATGATTCATTCCAGTTTTATAGGTCAATAATCTAAATAAATAAATAAAAATTTACTTGTATTATATATATAATAGAAGAATATTCGTACAATTCAATGAGACACATCTCGATTTTAATATTTTATTTTATTATTTGTTTCTGTTGATATTATAATACGATTTTATGTGTTTTTTAAAAAGCATTAATGATTTTATTTAAAAAAAATATATAAATTTGAAGATATCATAAAAATTTGAAGAAAAATATATCAATGTTAATATCAAATCAACTATTTAAAAGTTCTCATTTTTTATGTAATTTCTTTAATTTATTTTTTTATTATAATTTAGTTTAAGTGTAATAATAAAATAATTTATTTTTGGTTTAATATTATAATTTTTTTATAAAGATAATAATTAAGTATTATGTTAAAATTCAATGATTATCCTAATTATATTTTAATTTTTTATATTTAAAATGAGATATTTATTTTGTATTTGATTATGTTTATCTGCAGTTAGTTACACGAATTCARATATGGAGCTTTAATAAGTTGTACTTACGCACAATCTACTTGTAATCTTGAGTTTTAAGTAATATGCATTAATAAACAATATTTTACGCATAAAAAATATTTTTTAAAAGTTTTTGTCAAATGTTTTATAATATAGTATAGATTATGTGTTTTTAAGAAAACGATAATAATTTTATTTTTGAATAAAATATAAATTTGAATATATCATAAAAAATTGAAGAAAAAAAATATCAATGTTAATATCAAATCAATTATTTAAAAGTTCTCATTTTTTATGTAATTTCTTTAATTTATTTTTTTATTATAATTTAGTTTAAGTGTAATAATAAAATAATTTATTTTTGGTTTAATATTATAATTTTTTTATAAAGATAATAATTAAGTATTATGTTAAAATTCAATGATTATCCTAATTATATTTTAGATTTTTTATAGGTAAAATGAGATATTTATTTTGTATTTGATTATGTTTATCTGCAGTTAGTTACACGAATTCAAATATGGAGCTTTAATAAGTTGTATTTGATTACAATCTACTTGCAATCTTGAGGTTTAAGTAATATGCATTAATAAACAGTATTTTACGCATAAAAAATGATTTTTAAGAGTTTTTGTCAAATGCTTTATAAGCAGTATATGTTTTTGTGTTAAGTTTATTTTTTTTAATAAATTATTCACTACAAAAGGATTTTTTTAGTGAATGTGTTTTTTGGTTTTTTTGTGAAGACGAAGAAATAAATCATATTTTCTCCGCTATTTACAACCACACAAAATTCTCCAATAATTTAATGCGATAACGTTTGACTGGATAGTTGAAGACAAAATCGTAATCGAGATGACCAAATTGCACAAGGGAAGATCATCAAGACAAAACTAAAATCAAATCCTTCATCATCTGCTATTGCGATACGTTATGATGATCCAACGACAAAAGTGGTTGAAACCCTTGTAACATAGGCAAACCTATAAATTTTTTCAAACTGTGACACCATTTTACCATAAGAATGAAATATATGGAAAACCTTCACAAAGTCGTAGTAAATCTTAGTTCATATATGTGAACTTGTATGATATCAATAAGTTCACATGTGAATAGGTATAAAAACAACTAATATTATATCATAGTTCATATATGAACTTACTGATTCACATACATGAGTTTATAGTAGTTTCACATGTGAACATGCACAAAAACAACTTATTGATTCACATATGCGAGCTTAAGAATATTTGGACAAGTATGACAACTTTGTTCAGCTGGTGGCCAAGATATACTGAACCAAGACCATTCCATCTGTATTAGAGATCTTTTAGCCATAATGTAATCTAGGTCACATATTATTGTTCCATTTTGGTTTGGTTGGATGGGGGGTGTAAATTTTTATGATTTTTTTTTGTTTACTGTTATCTCAGACAAATTGTATTTCAAGTTCCATAATTTCGGATTTCCATATCTGAATTGTATTGGATCATACTTGGTTTAGTTATATATATGTTGAATATGTGTCGTCTTTGTTTTTGGAAATGGTGTTTATCATGGTCCTTGTTTTTATCCTTGAAATCGATGGGATTTGCTTATTATGCCTTCAGGTTGATTTAATGGCAACGTACATGTACGTGTTTGTTCTTTCGTACCATAAACTCAAACAAACAAAACAGGTGTGATGTTCTTTTGCATATGGACTTAGTTCACCTTACAATGCATGGATGGATCTAATACAATCTTCTAGTTTGGTTTGGGATGATTGTTGCTTATCTTTATGATTTGGATGTATGTAATGAAATGATCAGCTCATACACCTACTATGTAGCAAAGCAGAGAGACAAACCTGATCTAAATTTATAGGAACCACACTTTTCTCTACATAATTTTTCATGCCAAAAGAATCAAATCAAATCCTATTTGCTAACACATGATACTAAAAATGGTGGGATATGCATTCGTTAGGTTGTAACCACTGACAGGAGAAAATCAAACGGACAAAATACTAAAATTAGGGATATACCTGGTTTGATTTCCTAGAATAAAATCAAAGAAAATAGATAGTAAGCAGGAGTACATGGCTACAAGGACAAGGAGGTGAGTGCTATAGGACTTCTGAGTGTGTGTTCTGAAGGTGAAAAGAAAGTTAAGGCATACTTATAGCATACTT